ACTTAATACCACACATATAGACTTGGACTAAAAAAACGCAGGGCGTGTCTGGTTACCATGGAGATGACTGAAACATTTGCTCTTTAATTTCTATGAGAGACACCTGTCAATAGTGTCATGCAATGTGCCACAAAATCAGCCTGTAAGACCCTTCCTGGCACTGGCCCACTGGTCTTTCTCTATCCTGTGTGTGTGCACCCACTCTCACACAGACACATGTAGACACACACACACTTTTTGCACCGTCACTTCTGAAATGAATCAGGTGCGAAAAATACAGGTTGAAAATACAGATAGAGTCTCACTGACCTCGTGGTCCTGAGCTGGTGTCTGACAGACTCTGCACCAGATCATTCCTGTTGATCTTCTCTAAGACCTTCTTGGTCACATTCAGAGCTCCATCCAGTGTATAGCTGCTCGCCATCACATTCACTGTGTCCCATCTTTTTGCTTTCTCCAGTTTGGACACTTTGATGGCTTGGTAGCCTTCCAGGATGTCAGGCTGCTACAGGTGCCATTTGAAGTTCTTAAATTCATCGTCTTTCAGATCCTCCAGAGCGTTCAAAAGGTCCTCTGTCGTCATCGTGGCCTCCTGCTAAAATCAGACAGTAGGAAGGAAAAGTGTAACACAGATGTATCGGAGCAGCAACAGGGGTTCTGATTGGCTGACACAGGAGCTGTGTTGGTGTGATTTGTGTGCAGAGTCTGGACAGTCAGAGCTGCTGCTGCTCTGTTAGCTGGAGTTAATGCTCTTTTGATGTGGGAAACTTCTTTCAGTTTAAGAGAGCTATCTTTGTGTTAGGCCAGGGAGATACTTGCTTTTAACCACGTGTTCACGTAGAGAACCTGATGCATCAAAGGACCTGTGTACTGTGCGTGTTACTAGAGGATTCCACTGGAGGGCACTCCAGAGAACTCAGACCATATGGAACTTGGGATTTGCATGATGTAAACATAAACATAGTGATATGCAAGCAGGTCACTCTACTGCTACTTCTGAGGTCACGGCATATAAAGCAACAGCTGTGCCATTGTAGAAGGTATGTTAGGCAATTAAATTACCGTAAATTTATTATGTTGATGTGTTCTGTACGACATCTATTGCACGTCCGTCCATCCTGGAAGAGGGATCCCTCCTCAGTTGCTCTTCCTGAGCTTTCTATCATTTTTTCCCTGTTAACGGGGAGTTTTTCCTGATCAGCTGTGAGGGTCCTAAGGACAGAGGGATGTCGTATGCTGTAAAGCATCTGAGGCAAATTGTGATTTGTGATATTGGGCTTTATAAATAAAATCCAATTGAATTGAAATCAAGTACATTGTCTCACTGCATTTTGGCTTGTGGGCGCCGTTATAAATGTTGCCTCGTCACAAATGAGGCCGTGCAGTGTCGCAATGTCAATGTCTTGTTAACAGGACTTTTGACATGCAAACTCATTAATTTACAGTAGGGCTGGGCGGTATGGCCTAAAATCATTATCACGGTATTATTTTGGGGGGGATGCAGTGACGGTATGATATCGTGGTATCGTCTTCTCTCTCTTTTTTTTTTTTTTTCCACCTTAAATAAAACAATTTAAAAAGCCATACAGGTCTAGGATGGAAACTATTTATTGTCAGAAGTAAAACAGTTGCTAATCCATCTATTATTGTGTATAAAACGTTATATCGTATGTATAAACGTTAGAGGGAAGAGGGAGTGCCGACGGCTCCCGGGCCCCCTTCTCCCGCGGGCCTGGGTTTGGTGCGGTCGGCCAGGCTACCTCCATCACATAGTGAGGGAGGTGCGTGAGGCCGGCCGGCCGCCGGGCCCAGTTCTGCTGCCAAGTACTGCGGTATGAAGGTAACGTTAATCACAAAAGCAGCGGCTCATGTTTATTGCGGTAAGTTACCGTCACCGCGAATACCGCCCAGCCCTCAAGCACATGCTTTGTCTTGAGATGGTAAACTAAATTGCTCGTGTTACCTTTGTTTGCTGTCACTGTCACTCGACACTTCTTGCAAATTCTGTTTTTCTGCTCACTATCCAACCGTTAAAAGCCGAACCAAGTCCAGATCAAGGACGAAGCACCGTTTTTTTTAAACAAGCTCCTCTTGCTCCGCAGTCTCTGTGCTTGCAGCCATTTTCACACTGAGGCAGGTGCGATGACGTCATCGACGATAGGACGGTAGAGCGCAAATCTCTACCGTGGGCCAAACATATATCAATTCTACTGTCTACCGCATGTACCACGCAGCCCTAATTTACAGTTACTCTTCCATTTGATTCAGGAACAGAGGCATCAGGATGTGCCAGGTAGACTTCCAGTGATAGCTGGTTTTCAAGCTTCTGTTTGGCCAACATCTTCTTTGTTGTTATGGCCGACATCCACCGGGCACGTCAGCAGCGCAGGTCCCGTAGCAGCTCGCCCCCCTGTTAATCAATTACAGCGGCTGCACCGGCTACAGGAGCGGTGCGACAACCCCCGTCTGTCGTGCAACAACTCTCTATTTTAGGAGGCTCCTCTATTTTTGTCGCGCTTCGCTCCCCTACACGGCCCTCCAGGAGATAAAAACTGCATGAAATAGTGTGCTAAACGAGCACAGTGTGTTTTAAATGAATAAACCATTATCAGAGGTGATATGTAATGATTTTTTTTCATGCATTAACCCATGTTAATCCACGACATTGTGTAAATGTCCGTGTCGGACATTTGAAAGTGAGTAGATGACAAACAGTACAGTAAACTTGTAGATAACTCAAATATATGTAATAACTTAGGTGGAAAATGCTTTAACATTTCATGCAGCCTACATGCAGCCTCTCGGCTCGGCAAACGGTAAACAACCCCGCTGGCTTCTCTACGTGTCGCTTCCGTACGCAGTCAGTGGAGCCCAGATAAAAACGCTGCGACGCTGCGCTGACGTGACGCTTACGTTTGCAGCCGGTGGAACCCGGCCGTTAGAGTTACATACAGCACTTCAATTGTGCTTTTGCTTTTACTTGTTTTTGTCTTCATTTGGACAGAGACAGAGACAATAATGTGAACAGTAGCTGCAGCAAGAAATCAAGCTTAAGTTTGATTTTAAACACACAGTACATCATTTCTGCCACTAGTTGATGGTGTTGTGATGTAGCGTGGGATCATGGGAGTTGTCTTGTTAAAACACCACTGATAAAAAGTTTGTCTGACACGCCTCGGGCAGAAATCATGTTCTTCATGTTGATGTTCACATATTTTATACCGGCTGAATTTGAGTTGCTTCAACCGAGCTGAATGTCTGTCACCAAAGTTGACACCAGCTCTCCCCCCTGGCGAGGTGATCTCCTATAGGCAGGGAGTGAGGCTGAGGGGCCGTGGGGTGGGTTATTAGGTCTGTGTCGGGTGCAATAAATGACAAAAAGCTATGTAGCAGAAAGATGTGGTATTACTGTAACTGTGTATAATTTTGTGAAATAGTTTGATTTGGAATGACGTGTCGTTAAAGGGAGTAAAGGGGGTACGACGTTGTTGACAGGCTATCACACAAAGTGAACTGCTACCTCAAATAAAATTACAGATTTCTCAGTATAGTTGGAAACATTCTGGACAGTATAAGTACACAACTCAACAAATATATAGAATAGGGTGTTTTCAGACAACACGGACATGAAAATCTCACATTACCTTGTTACCTATTATATCTCCAGAAAAAAGTAAATATGATCAGCTGTACTCACCAGTGTTCAGCAGACACTCTGCCGTGTTGTTGACAAAGACCTGATGAAGTCAGTTTAATGTTTTTTCTAAGAGACACAGATCCGTCTCAACTGTCTGAACTCTACTGCGACACTTGTCAACCTTTAAAAAAGTTTAAGGAAGGTGACGCAGAAATGTTGTCTTTCCAGTTTCGCTCCACCTCTGACTGCAGCTCTGACGGTGAGGTTTGTTCTTCCTCATATTTAGACCTGATTTTAAACACATTATTTTTCCTTGACTTAGCATGAATAGAAGCTAACCTGTGATCTAGTTACATGTTTTTAGTGGAAGCACTGAACAGTGTAGGCACAATGTGAAAAGTGGAAGAGTAATGCCGGGTTCAGACTACATGATATCAGCCCGATTATAGCCCAATGTGGTGTCGTACAGTGTCTCAACTCTGCCACTATTGTTTTATTTTATTCCTTTATATCCTCCATTATGAAGAAAGAACATTCTTTGCTAGCTTGATGCTAATGGCAGTACTCAGCGGGTTGATAAAGTGCCTCTGCTGTTTCCTTTTTACTCTGTGTGCTAACGTCCCTACAGGAAATATCTAAAAGCCTGGGCTGTTGCTGTCCTACAGTTTCCACGGCAGCAGATCGCTCTGTGTTCCTATTGGTCAAAGTGACGGCTGTGACGGGAGAAGAAAATCAAACATGCTAGACTTTCTGTGGGGACGTCGTCTACTATGACACACTACACAAGATAAAGCAATGGATTATTGCGTACGACACTCATAGTCTCAGCTGAGAGAATCCCTTCATTTTCTAAAAAAGGCTTTTATTGTGAAACATTTGCAGGAACTTCCTGTGGAAGATTTAGTGCGCTACTTCAAATGTAGCTCCGCCCATCTGGTGACGCTTTTTACGTTACTACAGTAACATTTCAGCTGAGACATGAACAGACACAGTGACTGATATAATACTAATAATAATGAAGATAGGACAAGAATAATCCGATGACATCACACAGCATGAAAGACGCCCAGGTATGATTGGTCATGGACCAACATGTAGTCTGTACGTCTAGTCATGTCTGTCAGTGGACAGTGGTCACTCTGTGCCATAACACCAGGAAGTGACAGTATAATGGAGACTTGTCAGCTGTCAGTGATTAAACAACTTCGACCAAAGTCATTTCAACTTTTGAAGGAATAGTTAAACCGCAAAAAAAACCACAGCTTGTTGTTTTCTTGGTGCATCAGCAGTGGATTTTAATGTAGTAAACCTGATCACGTGGCCTCTGACTGAGTGTGGTGTTTGTGTTGTGTTTGTGTTGCAGGGAGGAGAAAGCAGAAGGCAGCCAAAGAGAGGGCAGGCCTGGCAAAGGTGAGCACCAACACCACACTGTGCCGTAACACTTCCTGAAATCAGCTGTCAGTTCACAACAAATCAGTATGCATTAAGGTAAGGGGAAAAATCTGATGAAGTTGTAAAGTATAGTAAAATATTTCTCAGTGACTCAAAAATGCAAAAACATTTAAGTGAAATAACAGTTTATAACAGGCTGGAAGAGAGTTACTGCCCCAGGCAAAGGAGTTCAAATATCTCGGGGTCTTGTTCACGAGTGAGGGTAGAATGGAGCGTGAGATGGATCAGCGGACTGACGTGGTGAAGAGAGAGCTGAGCCAGAAGGAAAAGCTTTTGATTTACTGGTCTTCAAACACAAATCAGCTTCACTATAACTCGCAGCATTCACAGACAAACACTTGTCTTTATCTGGACACATTTTCCCCACAAATATAACATGCTAACGTTATTAGCACAAGCCTATGGCATTTTACGTTGTATAAATTAGCCTAGCAGCTAGCAGACTTCTCTACTCATATAAAACCAGGGACAACAGCAACATTTAACAAAGGTAGCGTTACAAAATTCAGCTCCATTACAACTCNCAGCTAGCAGACTTCTCTACTCATATAAAACCAGGGACAACAGCAACATTTAACAAAGGTAGCGTTACAAAATTCAGCTCCATTACAACTCACAAGGTTCACCGGCAAAACAACTGTCTTATACTAAACACGTTTTCCAAACAAATACAACATGCTAACATTATTAGCACAAGCCTATGGCATTTTACATTGTATAAGCTATATTGTATAGCGACGAGCAGAGATTTCCTCTGCTCATATGAAGCCAGGATAAATCACACACAAGACTTAAAATGCTATTTTAGTGGAGGCTTTATTGTCTTCACAATTTATTGTTTCTTATCTGTGAAATTAAAGTAAATCAAAGCTTCGTCTCCACTGAGGGAAATGGTTTCAGCTTACAGAGACAGACAGGAGGTCTGCGTCACTGCTATGTATAGTTACATTTCAGGGATGGTGCACATCAGGCTACATCATAGGCTCTACGTCGACGCAGAAGTATAAATCCTGCATTAGAGATGGGGTGAGGAGAGGCGTTGTGGGCATGTCCCACTGGTAGGAGGCCGTGCAGCAGACCAAGAACACACTGGAGGGATTACATATCTCATCTGGCCTGGGAACACCTGGGGATCACCCAGGAGGAGCTGGAAAGTGTTGCAGTGGGGAGAAGGACGTCTGGAGTATCTTGCTCAGCCTGCTGCCCCCGTGAGCCGGCCTCGGATAAGTGGCTGAAAATGGATGAAATTACAGTTTGGTTTGACTGTGTTTCCAGTGTGCACTATTTTTGGGCTTTTATTTTTAAAGGCAGAACCTCTTCACTTCCTGTGTTATTCTGACAGTTTGATGACAGTGGGCATAAAATGTAGCATGTGAAGACACAAATGAAAGAACATGATGGTATTTGTAGTTTTAGCATCAACTTCCTGTATTTTCTTATTTCATAAAGGCTTCTCACAGCTGTGAGCTATCAACCACTGTTTTTTTCACCTCATCTGCTGCAGTGAAACTGTTGCAAGAGAATGCAACAAAACAAAATGACCCTTGAGGGCCTCTGTAGCTTTTACTGTTGATGGGATGATGACTTTCTGTGAGGGCTGACTGAGTCTTGACTTCGTGACATCACCCACAGCCCCAAAAAGAAACCGTAAAAACCAGAGAGAAGAGTTTGACTTCCTGTGTCTGCCTGTCATTTGTCCTGCAGCTCCCAGACCTGAAGGACGCTGAGGCGGTGCAGAAGTTCTTCCTGGAGGAGATCCAGCTGGGGGAGGAGCTGCTGGCTCAGGGTAACACCTCCTTCACAGTCAGATTCATGGGATTTCAGTGGTTCTTGTGTCAGAGTCCTTCCTCTGGTCTGTGTGGAGTCTCTCAGTGCATCTTAACGTCTCGTGCTTGTGCTTCGCTCCACAGGAGACTATGAGAAAGGTGTGGACCACCTGACCAACGCCATCGCAGTGTGCGGTCAGCCTCAGCAGCTGTTGCAGGTGCTGCAGCAGACTCTGCCTCCACCCGTCTTCCAGATGCTGCTCACCAAACTGCCCAGCATCAGCCAGGTGGGCCACACACTTCATTCTTTAGTCTTTACATGGTTCTCCGCTAGTCTTCATGTTCTCTCACACAGAAACAAGAACCACCAGAAAAAAAAGTTTAAAATCACACAGTATCAATAAAGACAAATATAAAGATCAGACAATAAGTTAAGGACTCGACATGAAAACAAAATTTTCACAAATAAAACAACTTATCAAAAACAACTAAAGGGACTTTTTGAAATGAAATCTGCTTGTGATGAGTCTGATGTTGAAGATGGGGAGTTAATTAAAGAACAATTCTCATCATATAATGTGTTAATGGACCAGAAACCAGCAGCTGATCAGAGCTCACTTCACATTTTAGTGGTGGAAAAAGTAAAGTATATAGTAAATATGGTTTACTGCAGTAAAAATACTAAAACCACACAGTGAAAACACTTCAAGTAAAAGTCCTGCATTGAAAAGCTCACTTAAAGGGAAAGCTTGGATTTTTTTGAAGAGGGTTGTATGGGACACTTATCTATAGTCAGTGTATTACACACAGTAGATGTCAGTCGGCACGGCCCAGTTTGGTGAAGCAGGCAGGAGTCTGACATGGACGCTAAATGATATATTTTGGTGGTCTGAGTTGAAGGTGTGAGAAAGAATAGTATCAGTAACATTGTTAACACTGTGCTACATTACAGAGAAATACAAAC